GATCGCGCCATTGCACTCCAGCCTGGGTAACAAGAGCGAAACTCCGTCTCAAAAAAAAAAAAAGAAATGTGATGCTGGAGAAAGAAACCTGGACCAAAATGTGATGTGGGTAACTTGTTTCTCTTTTCTCATCTCAACTTCCTCCAGCTCTATTTTTTAGAGAAGGATGTTGCATGGGAAAGGAAATGGCAGTCAGGTTTGTCTAGCTGAAGCAGTCTAAGTTGAAGTACAAAAAAAAAAATTAAGGTGGGCTGGAGTGAGAGGAAAGCTGGGGAAAGCTGGTGAGATATCTCGAAACCTGTGTTAAGGAATTTCCCTGACTTAGAATAGGGCAATTGGTTTTTACCATTAAAATCCCTTTGGTTTTTACCATTAAAATTCCAACGTTACAACCCTCTCTTCCTCTTTGTAATGTTGGTTAGCCGCTATTGGACATTACCAATGCTCAGGGGAAACTAGTTGAGATTAGAAGAAACAATTTTGCACACTCGTAGTAATAGCAGGTCTGCAAGGCTGACTCCAGCACAGGAAGTCAGGAAGACAGTTATTGCATGCACCCAGAGAACTACAAATGTAGGGAGGAGTCAAAACGGGCGATGTCAAATAAAAGATCCTTCCAATATGCAGAATTACAATCTCTGCGCACAACTCCTTGGCTTCTGTTTTGACTTTAATTTACTGCATGGCTCAAGATAAAGGGCTGGTAAATTGAGACCTGAATTCTCCTTCAGCAACAACCAGGGAGAGTTGGTGGAGTGGGTAGTAATAACCTGTCCTCACCCAATTTTCAAATTAAGGCTTTAAGGCTCCTAGTAAGCCAAAGGAAAGGAATTCTTGTTCCTCAGGCTCAAAGAGCACAGAAGTTGCTACGTGGGATGGGCACCTGGTGGCTCATGCCTGTAATCCCAGCACTTTGGGAGGCCAAGGAGGGAGGATCACTTGAAGCCAGGAGTTTAAGACCAGCCTGGGCTGGTGAGACTGTCTCTACAAAAAATAAAAAAATTAGCCAGGCATGGTGGCACATGTCTGTAGTCCCAGATGCTTGGGAGGCCGAGAAGGCAGGATTGCTTGAGCCTCGGAGTTTGAGGCTACAGTGAGCTATATGATTGCATCAGTGCACTTCAGCCTGAATGACAGACCAAGACCCTGTCTCAAATAAATAAATAAATAAATAAATAAATAAACAAATAAAATTAGCCAGGTGTAGTGGTACATGTCTGTAGTCCAAGCTACTTGGGAGGCTGAGGTGGGAAGATTGCTATAGCCCAGGAATTTGAGGCTACAGTGAGCTCTGATTATGGAGCTACACTCCAGGCTGGGTGACATAGAGTGAGGCCCCATTTCAATAATTTAAACAATGATTGTTTTCAAAGATGTTGCTATGTGGGCTGGGCGCGGCGGCTCACGCCTATAATCCTAGAACTTTGGGAGGTCAAGGTGGATGGATCACCTGAGGTCAGGCGTTTAAGACCAGCCTGACCAACATGGTGAAACTCCACTTCTACTAAAAATATAAAAATTAGCCGGGCATGGTGGTGGGTGCCTGTAATCCCAGTTGCTCAGGAGGCTGAGGCAGAAGAATCACTTGAATCAAGGAGCGGAGGTTGCAGTGAGCAGAGATCGCACCACTACACTCCAGCCTGGATGACACAATGAGACTCCATCTCAAAA